CGTGGGTCCGGACGGGCGCGCCGCCCCGCCGCGGCCGGGATTCACGGCAGGGGCTTCGAGAGGGGCCTGCTTGGCCGCAGCGGGATGCTCTCGTTCCTCGCTCGCCCCCCAGCAAGGACCGCGGCAGCTCAGCATCCCTGCAGCATCCATCCGCTCCCCCCTGCTGCTCCCAGGCCTGGCAGCTGCCCGGTCAGGCTGGGATAGGAAAAAATAAATCACTAAATTGCAGGGCAGGGCAATGTGGCAGTTTGGGGAGGCTGCTCAGCTAGTGGGAGTGGGACCAGTCTCACTACTGAAAGCCACTGTGGTTTCCCTGAAGACGCGGCTCTGTCCTTACAAGGTGATGCGCCGTCCCAGGCAGGAGGTGACGCAGCGTCACTTGCTCTTACAGCAGCCATGAGGCTTTAAATGTGTTTGGGGTTTGGTTTGGGGACTTGGGGTTTTTTTTTTTTTGTTTTGTTTTCCTAGAAAAGAGGAAAAAAGAAAACATGCAAACCTCCCCCTTCCTTTTTTCTCACCGTGCTGCTCAAGGCCTGCTGTCCAGCCGTGACTCAACACCCCGTTTCTGCTTCTCCTGCAAAAATCCTGCTTTTCCTGCCCTTCGCCTCCTCTTCCTCTGCCTTTCCCACCCTTGGCGCAGGCTGAAAACAGGACGTCCGACTGTCCCTGCGTTTGCCGGGGGCTCACCCCGCCGAGGATGTCACGGCACCCCAACGTCCCTCTCCGCAGCATCCACCCGGGCACCGGCGCGTGCTTGGGGTGCTGGGGGACTCATCCCTGTCCTCCCGTTGCATCCGTCTCTGTTCCCGTCATTTCCAGGCTCAATTCCCTGCTTTTCTGGCCATTCTCGTCCCCCTGCCCATACATTCACTCTCCCCCCGACCCTGAGGGAGATTTTGGGGTACTCCCGGCCAGGCTGTGCCATCGAGCCCTCTTGCAGCACGGTCGCCCTGAGGCTGCATCCCGTCGGCGGTGGGTGGGGGGAGCAGGGCAGGGATGGGGTGACATGGAAGACCACCGGACAGACCTTAACCTGCCACTCAGACCTACATCGGGCCGGTGCTCATCTCGGTTAACCCCTTCAAGCAGATGCCCTACTTCACCGACCGGGAGATCGAGCTGTACCAAGGGGCGGTGAGGACGCTGCATCCAGGCTTTCGGGGTCGGGGAAGGGAGGGGGCGTTGAGTTTAGTTGGTTACTTTGCTGCCTTATGTGCTGCATTTGCCTGCAAGTGCCTGGGGGCTCTCCCATCCTCCCTTTGGGAGCCATGGGGCTCAGCGTTCCCAAACCGGATTGATGCTCCTGTTTAGGGTCAGTAATGAGACTCAGGAGCAAATCTACAGGCCTGGTAAATTCAGCTAATAAATACAAGCACAAGCAAGCCAAACATGATAAAATATGACCCCCAAATGACATTAACTCTGCCACAGAGAGACACCACGAGGAGAAAAGAGTTAAGAAAACATTTGAAATGTCTCCAAAAAGCTCACTGTTTTTGTGCCAAGAGGATATGCCCCATCCCTGCTGTACGTTTGTTGCCTCGTGCAGTGTGTGGGCAGAGTTAAGGTGACTTGGAGCTGGAGCCCATCCGCGGTGGCAAGGAGCTGCTCTGCACTCAGCGCCGCTCTCCATGTCCCCTCTCTAGGCTCAGTATGAAAATCCACCCCATATCTACGCCCTGACTGACAACATGTACCGGAACATGCTGATCGACGGGGAGAACCAGTGCGTCATCATCAGGTGCGGGGCTGGCTGAGGGAGAGAGCTGGGTGTCAGGGTCGCCGCGCTGCTGGGACCCCTGGACCCGGTTCCCTCCTACCCCGGCAACCCAGCGCATGGCCCGTTTCCCTCTTGGTTAAGTGAGATCAAGGTTTCATTGCGCCGGGTGCTGTACAGGCAAGAAAACAGGCGGTTCTCACCCCTGTGGGTACCTGAAGCCCAGCAACGTGCTCCAGGTGTCCCAGCACGGGGTGATGCTTGGAGGGAGCCTGGCGTGTGGGCCACAGCCCCATGGCTGCAACAGGCTGTTGTTCCCCGCAGGAACTGAGCCTTGTGCAACGCAGTTTTCCGGTTGCATGTTGCAAGGGAACGAGTCAGGATGTGGGGCAAGTCCCGAGACTTCCCCTTTAAGCTCCAAAGTCCTGTGTTCCCCTCCAAATCCAGCAACCAGAAGTCCAAAATCTCCTCCCAGAGTAACCAGCCTTGGTGGGATCCAGCCACGTTTCTGTCCCAGGACATCCCCAGAGCAGCAGCAGCCCCCATCCCCTGCCACATACGCAGGCTCCCAGGCAGGAGAGCACCCCGACCCCGGGAACCCAGGGCTCCCTGCACCGCTCCAGCACCCTATGAGCCCCACCGCTGTGGCTCAGGGCTTATTTGGGGCTGGACCCTCAGGAGTGTGCAACTCCAGGGCTGTTCGTCACTCCCGTCCCAGATTGAGGGTCTGCCCTGGGGATGCAGGGGACCCGGCTCTGGTGCCTGGGCTGGGCATTTCTGCACCTTCACTTTGCCTCTGTTTGGGTACTTCCACAGTGGAGAAAGCGGGGCTGGGAAAACAGTGGCAGCGAAATACATCATGGGCTACATCTCTAAAGTGTCCGGAGGTGGAGAGAAAGTGCAGGTACTGTTCCTGTGCTCGGCCAGATGCCTGCTTCACCTCTGTCCATCCGCGCTCTGTCCCTCTGCCTCCCCTCAGCCCTGCTTTCTCCTCCATCTACAGCATCTCCCTGGGGCCGGACGCAAGGAGCAGGGGGACCTTGGGGATGCTGCCAGCTCTGAGTCAGGGTGCTCCCAGATGTGGCCTCACGAGGAAGCCCAGCATCCCCCGGCTCAGCATTGTCCCCTTCTCTCTTCCTCAGCATGTGAAGGATATCATCCTGCAGTCCAACCCTTTGCTGGAAGCATTTGGGAATGCCAAAACTGTCAGGAACAACAACTCCAGCCGCTTCGTAAGTCACTGGGGCAGGATGCTGTGAGCTCGGGTCATGCTGAGGGCCAGCACCCACCCCAGCATCCTGGCCTGCATCCATCCCAGCGATGTCCAGAACCAGGCAGCTGGAGCACTGATGTTGTTAGTGTGCAGATGAGAGAGGATAACAGGGCTGAAGGCAGGGGGTTGCCACCGGACCCTGGGAGAGGGCAGGGGAAGCAGGCTCTGAGCAGCGACTTGTCCCGTTGGCAGGGGAAGTACTTCGAAATCCAGTTCAGCCGGGGCGGTGAGCCCGATGGAGGGAAGATCTCCAACTTCCTGCTGGAGAAGTCCCGGGTGGTGAGCCAGAATGAGAATGAGAGGAACTTCCACATCTACTACCAGGTAGGGACATGCCAGCACCCGCTGTGCAGGCACCTGCAGGCACCAGTCCCGAGTAACCGCAGCCCCCATTCGCTCTCCCTGCGCCTGGCAGCTCATCGAAGGGGCGTCCCAAGAGCAGCGGCAGAACCTGGGCATCATGACGCCTGATTATTACTACTACTTGAACCAGTCGGACACCTACCAAGTGGACGGCACCGATGACCGCAGTGACTTCCAGGAGACCATGGTGAGTGCCCATAGGGGCTCCACGAGCCCAGACACCGCTGTCTGCGGCCAGGTGTGGGCTGACAGGCTCCTCACACACCCCCCCTCCCCCCAGAATGCCATGCAGGTCATTGGCATCTGTGGAGACGACCAGCAACTGGTGCTGCAGATAGTGGCAGGGATCCTCCACCTCGGCAACATCAGCTTCCGGGAAGAGGGCAACTATGCTCAGGTGGAAAATGCCAACGGTGAGTACGCCAGCACCCCTTGTCGGGCAGCACAAGCGGAGACACGTGTGGAGATCCTTTGCACTTGGATGTGAACTTGTCATAGCACAGATCCCTCAGCAGAGGAAAGAGGTGGCATCAGCATCTTCCCAGCTTTAGAGATGGGGAAACTGAGGCAGCAAGCAAGGAAATGACACAATCATAGTTAGAAAGGAGGGGATAGATGCTAGCAGTCCTGTTTGGCAGTCCCTTGCAGTGATTTAGTAGGAGGAGGAGATCATCCCACGTCTAGTTGCTAAACCGCAGTTCCTTCCTTTGGGCTCGGCCAGGGTGGAGAGGGGTCTGGCAGCCCCAGCAGCTGTGGGCAGCATCCCTGAGGGTATGTCTGCCCTGACCACCCTCCCTTCGCCCAGCACTGGCCTTCCCTGCCTACCTGCTGGGGATCAACCAGGACCGGCTCAACGACAAGGTCACCAGTAGGAAAATGGACAGCAAGTGGGGTGGCCGCTCGGAGTCCATCAATGTCACCCTCAATGTGGAGCAGGCGGCCTACACCCGGGATGCCCTGGCCAAGGGCCTCTACGCGCGAGTCTTCGACTTTCTTGTGGAGGTGCGTGCCCCCACAGCCCTGCTGCAGATGGGGATGGATGCTCCAGCCAGGTAGCACGTGCCCCTTCTTTGCAGGAGGTAACTCCTAGCCCCATCCTCTGCCAAGGCATGAAGAGCTTTTGTTTGGTGCTTGGGTCATGAGTGCAGCAGATGAGATGGGAAGAGCTGGCCACATCCTTGAGATGACTTCAGAAAAGGGGCATGTGGTGGTGACATGGGTGAAGTGTCTCAGGACACCAGCCCCACAGGGAAGGGGTACCAGTGGGGCCAACTGCACGTGAGCGCTCACCATCCGCTCCAGCACACAGTCCACCGACCTGGCAGGAGCCCTCGATGAAGGGGATTCAGTCCATCTCTCCCTACAGTCTATTAACCGGGCCATGCGGAAGCCGCACGAGGAGTACAGCATTGGGGTGCTCGACATCTATGGCTTCGAAATATTCCAGGTACTGACTGCTTTTCTGTAGAAGCCCAGCAGGGGACTGTCCAGCCTCCCTCTCCTCCAGTGATATGAAAGGGACAGAAGCCAACTCAGCCCTATCTTATTTTTCTTCTTCCATTCTCCTCTGTAATTCTGCAGAAAAACGGCTTTGAACAATTCTGCATTAACTTTGTGAACGAGAAACTGCAGCAGATCTTCATAGAGCTGACCCTCAAGGCAGAGCAGGTACAGGGGACAGGGCACAGTGCAGTGGGGAGTGCTGAAAGTTGATTCCTGCACCCCGACACCCTCCAACCCTGGGCAGATCCCAGTGACGTGGCGAGAGCAGTCAGGCATTGGCAAAACCCCAAAATCAGGTCTCCGGTCAGGATAGAGAAGGCACCCCAACCTCTTTTTTGTACCTACTGGCTCAAAAAGCCCAAGCATGGGGGACTTTGCAGGTTGTAGGTGACCACTATTCACGAGCAGAGGACGGGAGAGGAAAGGCTGCCTGCGTCTGTCCTTCTGCACACAGCTGCCCTCACCCAGCTCTCTCCACTCTTCCCTAGGAGGAATACGTGCAGGAGGGCATCAAGTGGACCCAGATCCAGTACTTCAATAACAAGGTGGTATGCGACCTGATCGAGAACAAGCTGGTGAGTGGGATCTGCTCCTCAAGAGGAAGCTTAAGATACCCCAGGGGGACAGGCGGACAGGGTGTTGTTCATGGCAGTTGGCCAAAGCCAGTCCTGCCTGGGAGTATCCTTGGGCAAGTGGCAGCACGGAGGAGGTGGTCTGCATCCTTAACACAAGCGGCAATTCAAAGGAAAGCAGCTTTGAGCAGTGCGGGGCACTTAAAGCCAGATATAGGACTGGGCCCTGCCTAATCCCCCCGGGCTTCGCTCAGGGCACCTAGGTCACCCTGGCTTTGACTACCTCCCCAGAACCCACCGGGGATCATGAGCGTCCTGGATGATGTCTGCGCCACCATGCACGCGACTGGCGAAGGGGCCGATCAGACCCTGCTGCAGAAGCTGCAGGCGGCCGTGGGGACACACGAGCATTTCAACAGCTGGAGCGCAGGCTTCGTCATCCACCACTATGCAGGCAAGGTACATGGCATGTGCCCCATGCATGGGCACCCCTCATACACATGCCACCAGGGGGGCACGCGGCCCAGGCGGGCTGAGCTCTCCCCTTCTCCCGGCCTCTCTAGGTCTCCTATGATGTGACAGGCTTCTGCGAGCGCAACCGCGACGTGCTCTTCACTGACCTCATCGAGCTCATGCAAAGCAGTGAATAGTGAGTCCAGGGAGCACTTTGGTCCCCCGTGCACACCTTGAGGGCTTGATCTAGGCACAGCATCCTCAAAGCGTGTGTCTCGGACCATCTCATGCTCCTGCCCCAGTCGATGCCCAGCATCCTGTATTGCTCTTCAGGGACCATCAGCAGCAGATTCAAGGGATGCTGGGCTGGATGGAGGGGGGAATTTCGGGGGGGGAGGTCCAACTAAATCTTGGTGCAGACTGATGGCCCATATCTGCGTTTCGCAGCCTCAGAAACTGGGGCTGCAGCTGGTTCCTGTGATGGCTCAGTGCTTGCTGAGCTTCCAGGAGTCCGTCAGCATTCACCCGCTCACTGTTATCTGCCTTTCAGCGGTTTCATCCGGATGCTTTTCCCAGAAAAGCTAGATTCTGACAAAAAAGGCCGACCAACCACAGCAGGCTCCAAAATCAAGGTATGTCCTGAAGGCTGCAGGACAGCAGCTGCCTTTCCCTGGAGCAGCAGCTGGGTGCTGGGCCCCTGTCAAAGCCACCGAACACTGCCAAGGTTCATCTTTGCAACAGAAACAGGCTAACGACCTGGTGAACACGCTAATGAAATGCACGCCACACTACATCCGCTGCATCAAACCCAACGAGACCAAGAAACCCAGAGACTGGGAGGAGAGCAGGTAAAGGAGGCCTCTGCATCACGGCACCCTTGAAGCCCAGGGGCTGTTGGATAGCAGGGTCCGTCTTTCCCGCAGGCAAAGCTGCCGAGCGGATCCCTGGGCCAATTCCTCTCCACGGGAGCCACAGTGCAGGGTCTTGTCCCACCCTGAGCGCTTCCCTTGCCACTCTTGGCTCCACAGGGTGAAGCACCAAGTCGAGTACCTGGGGCTGAAGGAGAACATCCGGGTGCGCCGGGCAGGTTTCGCCTACCGCCGCGTCTTCCACAAGTTCCTGCAACGGTGAGCCACTGGTGGGGCCAGACCCAGCCAAAGGGCAGTGAGCCCAGGTGCATGCTCATGGCCCCTCTGCTGGCAGGTACGCCATCCTCACTCCGGAGACGTGGCCGTCCTGGCGAGGGGATGAGCGCCAGGGCGTGCAGCACTTGCTGCGATCCGTTAACATGGACCCAGACCAGTATCAGATGGGCCGGAGCAAGGTGTTTGTCAAGAACCCCGAATCGGTAGGTGGCCTGGCCTTGCCCGTCACCCCACAGCTCTGCATGGGTCTTGGAAAGCACCCAGCAAGGAGCACCCATCCAACCTCCAGAGCGGACATACATCCCTGTGCCCAGCTGGGCGTTGATTTGGGCCATGCCGGGGTGGATTTGGGAAGGGGATATCCCTACCTGGGAGAAGGGAGGGAGAGCCTGGCCAGGCAGCCCCCGTCCCCAGCCAGGCTCTGCACCCTGTGTCCCCTCGCACAGCTCTTTCTCCTCGAAGAGATGAGGGAGCGGAAGTTTGACGGCTTCGCCCGGGTGATCCAGAAGGCCTGGCGGCGACACATCGCCATCCGGAAGTATGAGCAGATGCGAGAAGAGGGTAAGACCAAGGGTCTGGAGCCATGGCAGCCGGGTCGGGAACTGGGTGACAATGGAGTGCTGGGTCAGGAGCAGCACCCTGCAAGGATGCTCTCAGCCAGGGTCAGTCCCATCCCTGCTTGCTGGTCCCTGCTTGATGGATCCTGCTCTGCCACAGGGCACCCCATGCGCAGTGTCTGCACAGGCATGGGAAAGGCCAGTAGTTAGCACCCAGCTCCCATTGCAAGCATTTCCCAATCTCCCCAAATGTACAGTGAAAAATCAAGAGGAAAACCCACAGCCGGGAACAGTTTCTCCCTCCTTCCCTCCTACAACACAATTCATGTGATTAAAAGCCAGCAAAGTTCAAACAGCTCAGATGCTTTCTGTGGCAAGCACTCTGCCCCACATCTTGCTGCCACAGCTTGTGGGGTGTCTCACACGGCTCTAGCAGCCGGATTTACAAGACCAGGAGATGCCTGGCCTCACAGGCTCCTGGTGCCGAGCTCCAGCAGCCCGAGCCATAGGCTCAGTTGCCCAGCCAGCAGGGCCCTGACCTGACCAGCATTGCTTTGGGGCCTTGCACAGCTTCCAACATCCTCTACAACTTCAAAGAGAGGAGGAGGAACAGCATCAACAGGAATTTCGTGGGTGATTACCTGGGCATGGAGGAACGGCCTGAGCTGCGCCAGTTCATGGCCAAGAGGGAGCGGATAGACTTTGCTGACTCTGTCACCAAGTACGACCGGAGATTTAAGGTAAGCACACCCAGCGGGGAGTCAGGGGACAGTCCAAGTCATGTCACATTCTCATGGCTCATCACAAACGTCCTTGGATGGGACCCATGTAGGACTCGCGTCCCGCAGCAAAAACATATTTCACCTACCTGTGTCCCTCAACCCCTGCTCCTGCCCATTCCCAGCCCATCAAGCGAGACTTCATCCTCACCCCCAAGTACTTCTACCTGATCGGGCGGGAGAAGGTGAAGAAAGGTCCTGAGAAGGGGCAGATCAAGGAAGTGCTCAAGAAGAAGGTGGAGATCCAGGCTGTGAATGGTGTCTCGCTGAGGTACATCCCCTGGCACGGGGCTGGGACCACATGTAGCTCCACAATGCTCTTTGCAGGGGTACCATGGGGTCTTCAGCAGCCCCAGCGGGGTCAGACTGGCTGGTGTGCTGGCCCATCCTGGGTCTCCTAGGCTTTCTCCATCCTCTGATCTCCAGGCCGTTGTTGGAGATGAAGATATCAGGGCATCACACCATGGTGGGGAGGGAAGAGATGGGGGACCCACGGGTCTGGGGTCCCTGCAGGGTTGGCTGCGTCCTTGCTTTGGAGGCCTGGGAGGTTTCCCACTAGGTCAGCCTCCAAATTGGCCCAGACTCCAGACTCGGTGGGATCTCCTGGTTCCCAATCAGCGCTGGCTGGGACCAGCATTGCCTGTGCCCAGTGTCTGACACCTCACCTCTTGGGGATTTCTCCAAGCAGCACCAGGCAGGATGACTTCTTCATCCTCCACGAGAATGAAGCCGACAATTTCTTGGAGTCAATCTTTAAGACGGAGCTCATCAGCTTGCTATGCAAACGCTATGAGGAGCTGACCCGCAGCAAGCTGCGCCTCACCTTCAAAGACATGTAAGGAGTAGGGCTGCGCTGCCAGCTGGGTTTGACCCTTTCCTCCCGCGGCCCGAATTTTCAAGGCCAACCGCATGTCTCCATGGAGGACTGGCCCTGTAACCCTGCAGCAGCATCGGGGGTCCCAACCTTTGGCCTCTCTCCTTCAGACTACAGTTCCGGGTGAAGAAGGAGGGCTGGGGTGGCGGCGGCACCCGCAGCGTCACCTTCGCGAGAGGCCAGGGCGACGTGGCTGCCCTCAAAGCAGGAGGCAAAACCCTTACGGTCAGCATTGGGGACGGGCTCCCCAAGAACTCCAGTGAGTGCCAATGCCACGGCGTCCCACTGGGGAGAGGCAGCGGGAGGGCCAGGAGTGCCAGGGCGGCTGGGCTACGGCAGCGAGGGGCTGGCGGGATAAGCCACGACATGGCGTCCTCGGGTGCGTGTGGCTTGCATTTCACCTAGGAGGATGGTCGTGCTGCTGGTCATGTGGTGGGGGAACCAGGCGCACTGGAGAAAGAGGCAGCCAACCCATTGTTCAATCCCCAGCCGTCTCTGAGGACCCCACAAAGCTTATGGGGACTGTCACCTAACAGGGTGTCTTTTTCCCCCCCTAGAGCCCACAAGGAAGGGGGTAACACAGAGCAGAGGTTGCCACAGGCCACCAGCGGCCTCCCGAAATGCCCCACCAGGGCCAAGAGGTGAGGAAGGCAATGCCAAAGGGGTCAGCAACGGGGAGCCAGTCCCCAAGGGCAGACCCCAGCCTGGCCTGGTGGCCCCTGCCGCCATAACATGCCATCTCTTGGGGGGTCTCTAGGCACCTGCAGGAACGGGGCACCCCAGTTCCCCCGCAGCAACAGCCAGGCGCAGCGGGACCCCCACACGGTGCACCAGAAGCAGATGCGGGGTCCACCAGCCGCGGTACTGCCCATGCAAAGCAGCCGCAAGGCGAAGACGCGGCCCCCATCTGAGCAGAATATGGAGTTCCTCAACGTGCCTGACCAGGGGGTGGCCGGGTAGGTCACGGTACCATCCCCTGCGTGTGCCCATGCCTGCTGGGCTGGCCCTGACCTCTCCCTGTCATTGCTGCTGCCCCCAGATGCTGGCTTTTCCTTCCAAGGCCAGCTTAGCCTCCCAGCTCCATCCAGCTGAACCAGCTCCAGGTTGTCTGGCCATGCTGGGAGGTCTCCTTGGGTCTTCTCCACACCAGTTCTTCCAGTGCTTGCACTGGGAGGCCCTTTCCTTTGCAGTACTGAGCTGGAGGGACAGAGCAGCACTTTGGTGGAAGGCGGGTGTAGCCCTGTGGCTCAGCTCATCGTGCCACACTGTCCTGGGTGCAGCGTGATGTCCCCCTCCTTCTTAAGCTTGCCTCTTTTAATGATGTCATTTGTCCTTGACCCTGCAGCATGCAACGGCGGCGAAGCGTGAGCCAGCGGCCCCCTCCGGCTGGGCGCCCCAAGCCCCAACCCAAGGCAGCTGTCCCACGCTGCCAGGCACTGTACCAGTACATGGGGCAGGACGTGGACGAGCTCAGCTTCAACGTCGGGGACATCATCGACATCCTGCTGGAAGGTACATGCTGGGCACCACTGCCCCAGCACCTCCAGGCCAGCCCCATGCTCAGGTTTGCAGCACAGCACTGTCGCGTAGATGGTTTTGACCTAGGACTGTTGCTTTCCCCCTTCTCCAGATATCTCTGGATGGTGGAAAGGTCGACTCCACGGCAAGGAAGGCCTTTTCCCTGGGAACTATGTGCAGAAGATATGAGCTCCATCCGGTGGTTGCACTGCCAGGTGTGATGGGAGGCCACCAGCAGCATCCTCTCACCTCACCACCGATGAAGAAGTGCAACCCAAGCAAGATCCATGTCCCTGCCTGGAGCAGGCTGGTGGTGGACAAAAGGCAGCTCTCTGCAGCCAGCTGTGATGGGGGGGGGGGGGAGGGGACCACCACACACTCCCAATGGCAGCTTTGCCAAAAATCACTTCTGAGTCCAGCGTGAGGAGAGGGGCTGACCGGCTCCTTTCTGCTGATACTGGTGTTTCATAACCACTTCCCCTTCAAGCTGGCCACCCTCTGGGCCCCCTTCACTGGCTGCCCAGCCCATTCTCTGCCTCCACACTGCCCATACCCACCAGCCAGGGTTGTGCCGGTGGAAATCACCAATTTCCACAGCTGCTTGAAATCATAGCCCTGGAGCAAAGACTGTCTCTTTGCTCCCTGCTCATACAGCACGTCACACCACGGGCATTGGAACTGCTAAAGATGATTCTGGGGTATAAATAGGATTGTTGTTAATAATTGTAGTTATAAAGTTACCCTATATGCCAGTGGTGGCTTTGATCCTCTGACTTTGATGCTGGGGCGTTCACATCTTGCAAGCACAGCAAATCTCAGTCTGATGCAAAAATAGAGCCAAGAGTAAGTATTTCACCCATGGGCCCCTCCATGGTGACAAGCGCAAACGCATGCAGGAGGCAGCCCCGTTCCCTCCGCTTCAAATCCTGCCAGAAGATGCTGGGCATGGAAACAAGCTTCCCCCATAAACCTGGCTCAGATGCCTGTACAACCCAGCGCGATGCTGGACTGCACAGCATGGCTGGGAGCTGCTGGGATCTCGGAAATCGCTCCTGCTAGAGCAGCAGGGGAGGAAAGCGCTAGGAAAGGGGGCACAATGGGACCTGGGCATTGCTGCTGTGCCCCAATTTCCTGGGAAAAGAGCTGCAAGGACTGTTTAGCCAAAGCCCAAAGAGCCTTTTCATGGGAGATGCCTGAGGGCTGCACTCAGGCAGGTCAGACTGGGCTGCCTTGTTTGGCCCGAATGGGCCAGAACTCGATGGCTCGGCAGATGTAGCAATTTGTCATGATTAATAAAGAGCTGGGACTTTCCCCAGAAAGCAGGGCAGTGGGGGCTCCTCCCGCGGGAACACCGGGGGGGGGGGGTGCCACGGGTGGCAGAAAGCAGCCTCGTCTGAGGACTCAGAGACCCGCACTCGGTGCAGGGCAGATCTGCTCGGGAATCAGCTCTTTTAGGGTGCCACGGGGGTTGCTTTGAGGCCAGACCTTTTCCCTCTTGGAGAGAACAACTGTGCTCAAGTCCTTCAGCTGTAGGGGGGGGACCGTTGTCCTCCAGCTGGGTAACAGGATGGCTGCATCGGGGCTGAGCTTTGGGTGATCCCTGGGCTGGTTTTCCCCTCCAGGCTAGGCATTTCTGGTGCTTGCAGCATTCTCGGGGTTTTACCCCATTGCTGACAGTGTGCAGCTACGGCACCACCTCGTACCTCTTTCTGGGTCCGCCGTCCTCTCTGTTGAATGGGGAAACTGAGGCCCAGTGAGGAGCGATGTCCTAGGACAGACTGAGGAGGATTGCCTGTCCCCGTGCCAGCTGCAAGGGATGTGGTTTTTTTGGTAATCCTGCCTCTGGGGTTAGAAACGGGGAGCCCCGAGTCCCCAGCTCCCCAGCCCGCTAACCCCTGCGACCATGCTGCAATCACAGCAGCCCTCAGGGGTGAGAGATGTTGGGAGGGGGCTGAGCCCATCCGGTGGCAGGGGGGGGTGCATTTGGGGAGGTTTAGCATCAGGGCCAGGGTCTAACAATGCCTTTGCAGCAGGATTTGTCCCCGTCTGCCCTTCCCTTCCTCGTGGACACCCCGTGTTGCTGGGAATGGCCTTGGTCCCGGCCCCCCCCACAGGCACACACAGCCCCCGGTGGGCTGGGGGCAGAGGGATGCCTGCTCGTCTGGTGCCCTTCCTCTCCCCACCCCAGCCCTCTTCCTCTTCCTCCCTCCCCACATCCCCATGCCCCTGCCTGGGGCTCACCCCCTGCCCCTGGCAAGCAAAACCCTTCCTTGGGTGCCAGAGATGGGGGGGGGGATGGGACACCGATGGGGCAGGGGGGATTAGGGGAGCCTATTTCCTCCAGGCTGGGAGCGGCAGAAGGCAAAAGGCTGCCGGGAAATGAAGTCCGTCTGTCCGTCCCTCATGCTGCAAACTGAGCATCCTGTAAACGCCCAACTGTCTGCAGGGCAGGCAGAGCCTCAGCTCTTCTTTAATGAGAAAAAACAGCTTTGGATACTCTGGAGTTTTAGGAACCTCCCTCCCTTGCACCTTCCAGCCCCCTTTTTTAGGCCACAGAAGGTGCCCAGCACCCTGGGCCTGCGTCAGGCCACATCTGACCGCTGGCAGCCAGTGCCAGGCATGTGGCACACTCCCACCAGTGTCAACGGCGTAGGCCCTGCGGTAGGCGTGGAGGGCCCTGCCAGCGCCGGGAGCAGGGCCCGTCCCGGGCACCCCAAGGGTCCCGGGTACTGCGAGGGGCTCAGGATGCTCTGAGAGCCCTGGGATGCTCTGAGGACCTTGGGCTCCTCCAAGGCGGTCAGCTGCTCACAGCGGCTCTGATGCTCACAGGGGCTCTGAGGGCCTGGGATACTCCAAAGGGTTCAGGGTGCTCTGAGGGGTTTGGGGTGCTTTTAAGGACTTGGGGTGCTCCAAGAGCCCTGGAATGCCCTAAGGGGCTGAGGGTGCTACTAGATGCTCAAGGTGCTCCTAGATGCTCAGGCTGGTCTGAGGTGCTCAGGATGATCTGAGGGGCTTGGGGTGCTTTTAGGGTATCAGGGTGCTCTGAGCACCCTGGGGTGCTCTAAAGGGCTCAAGGGTGCTCCAAGGGGTTTGGAATGCTCTTAGGGGCCTCTGATACTCTGAGGCGCTTGGGATGCTCCAAGGGGTTCAGGCTCTTAGGGTCTTGTCATACTCCAAGGGCCTCTGTGGGTCCCAGCATGCTCCAAGAGGGTCAGGGTGCTCCAAGGAGCTTGGGGTGCTCCAAGAGGCTCGGGGTGCTCCAAGAGGGTCAGGGTGCTCCAAGGGGCTTGGGGTGCTCCAAGAGGATCAGGGTGCTCCAAGAGGCTCGGGGGTGCTCCAAGAGGAGCAGGGTGCTCCGAGGGCCCTAGGTTGCTCCTAGGGACTCAGGGTGCTCCAAGGGGCTCAGGGTGCTCTGAGAGCCCTGGAATGCTCCAAGGGGCTCCGGGTGCTCCAAGGGGCTGAGGGTGTTTTGAAGGGATCGGGCTGCTCCGAGGGGAATCAGGGTGCTCCAAGAGCCCTGGGATGCTGCAGCCGCACACCCGCTCCGCAGGGTGCGTGCAGCCCCCACGCAGAGGCTGTGAGCGTGTGCGTGTGCATGGGGGTGCGGGTGCGTGTGCGTGTGCATGCGCGTGCGTGCGGGTGCGTGGGGGCGCGTGTGCGGCAGCGCG